TAATGATGACCATTCAAGGACCACAACCATTGGCAATGATTGCTGAAAAAGATTGATCAGCAGGAAGCACACAGAGAAGATAGAACTTCATCCCTCAGCAACCCGTCAGATTGAGGGTGGGAAATCTCAGAAGCAGAAATGATTATGGGACAAATATGCAGACAGTTAGTTAGGTCTGAGGAGCCAGTAGAAGTCAGGCAGGCAGTTGGGTTTGTGGAGCTGGGAGTCAGAGCAACTGCCCCATCCCTCCCCACGCAACCTACTTATCAAATATATCCACCTTCTCATGATGCATGGGTTGCATCTGGGATCTGCATACAAAGGAGATACAGGGTGTGAAGAAGATGGCGAGTGGCCCTTTTTTGCCATGGACCTCACTTTCAGTTGCTGTGCCAGTCTTTTCATCCAGAACAGTTGTACTGCCATTGCTTCCATCTGTGCTCTGCTTGTCCATCCTACGCGAAGTCCTTAGAAACCTGCAATTTATTTATTCTCTCCATAGTTTATGCTCTCCTGAGTGACAAATAATTGGAGCCACACATTATGTAGCATGTTCAAATTTATTTCCGTCTGGGGCCGATGCCATGGTGCAGTAGGTTAATCCTCCACCTGTGGCACCAGCATTCCATATGGGTGCTAGTTCTGGTTCTGGCTGCTCCTCTTCCAATCCAGCTCTCTGCTGTGACCTGAGAAATCAGTAGAAGATGGCCCAAATACGTGGGTCCCTGCACCCACGTGGGAGACCCAGAAGAAGCTCCTAGCTCTTGGCTTTGGATCAGCGCTGTTCTGATTGTTGCAGCCATATATGGAGTGAGACAATGGAAGGAAGACCTTTCTCTCTGTCTCTCCCTCTCACTGTCTGTAACTCTACCTCTCAAATAAATAAATAAAATCTTTTAAAGAAACAAATTTATTTCTGTCAATTAATAAAATATATATAAGATTCCTCCATATTTTATCATGACTTTATAGCTCCTTTTCCTTTGACTGAGTAATATTTTATTGTTTGCATGTCCCACATCTTCTCTAGAATATTTTAGTGTCTTCCAAATTTTGTCAATTAAAATTAAATTGCTGTAAATATAAATGCAGCAGTTTTTTAGGAGTCACTTTGTCTCAATTGGGTAAATTCTCCTATAAAAGTTGGTCTTTCATAGTATCAAATTATCAGAATATTTTCTGAGCTGTCTGTAATATGTTGTGTATTTGTCAACAATGAATTAAACATATTATTACTCCATATTATGACTAGTAATTATTGGTGTTTATTTTTTTAAATTCTTGTCATTTGAATATCTGTGTAGTGATAATTCTTTGCTATTAATTATCCAAGGACATATGACACTCAGTATCTTTAAAACTCTAACATGTTACCTAAGTACCTTCTTTGGTGAAGGGTATAATCAGACCTCTTGTTCTTTTGAATTGTACTGTACATTTTCTTACTAGTAATTTTTAAGAAATTTTGCAGATTGAGTTTAATTCCTCCAATATTCATCTCTAAACATTGATATACCTTTGTTAGGGAATTAGGCATTTAAAGAGGTAAATATGTAATAAGAATTCATAAGGGTAGACACCTAATCCAAATGACTAGAGACTTTATAAAAAAGAGGAAAGGTTACCAGGGTCATGCATTTGTAGAGTATAGATCATGTGACAAGATGGTAAGAATTAATCTGCCTGCAAGGAAATGAAGACACTCAGGAGAAACCAAACCTGCCCATCTCTCCATTTTTGTCTTAGATTTCTCTGATGCAGTCTACTCAGCATGAAGTGTTTTGTTATTAAAATTTTAGTAAGATAATGCACTTATAGCAGAAGTTGAAGGGTTTTTAAAATTATTTTATTTTGAAAGTATGTGTGTGTGTTAGAGAGAGACAGAGAGACAGAGAGAGCGAGAGAGAGAGAGAGAGATTGATTTACCATTCACCAGTTCACTCCCCATATGCCTGAAACAGAACTAGGCAAGACGAAAGATAGGAGTTAGAAATTAGTAATTAGTATTAGTAATAGGGACCCAACTACTTTAGCCATCACCTGCTTCTTCCAAGAGTGCACATAGCAGAATACTGAAGTCAGGAGTGGAGCCAGGAATTGAAACCACACCCTTCGATCCTGGATGTGGGTATTCCAAACAGCATCTCAACTGCTACTTCAGACACCATCCCTGTCTTCACTTTCTGGCCTCCATGGTTGCTCATAATGTAGCTACTGTTAATATGGAAGGTTTCTGGTACATGAGGGTATACTTCCTCCTTGCTTCTTTTCAGATCCTTTATGGTTTTTTACCAAATACACTCTTTCAGTATGGATCTCTCTGGGTTGTTCCTAATTGAAGTATTGTGAGCTTCTGAATTCAAATATTTTAGGAAGTTTGGGATTTGGGGCAATAGTACAATTGTAATCCATCTAATAGCCATATAACTATAATTACATATACATATATATATAATCAAGCTTAAAACATATGAAGAAAAATTGACACAATGAAGGATATAAACCTGCAAAAAAATTCAAAGCAATAGCTGGAACTTTCATGATCATATTTCCAATAATGTGTACAACCAAAGGAGAGAAGATCAACAGAGAAATAGAGAATGTAACCACATTATAAACCAAGTAGCTCTAAAGGAAAATAATACAATATTTCACCTGACCAATGAAATACACAATCTACACAGTGCATTATCTTGTCACAAGGAGAGAAACTGAAAACAATAACAAATTGAAATTTGAGAAATTGACAAATATTTGTAAATCGTGGAATGTAATATTAAATAATACAATCATAAATAAAGAGCACATAAACTACAATTTTAATTAACAATTAAAATATCGATAAATTTTCAACAAATAAATTTAACCTAATTGAGGAAACAAAGAAAATAAATGAAATATTAATAAAATTAACATTATAGCATGACAAATTTTAATGGATGCTAAATCCATTAAATGCTAAGGAGACTGACACTGTGGCATAGTGGGTTAAGCCACTGCTTTTAATCCTAGCATGTCATAAAATGGCCAGTTTTAAGTTCTGGCTGCTCCAACTCTGATCCAGCTATGTGCCTGGCAAAGCAGCAGAAGATGGTTAGAGTCCTTGTGTTATCGGGGAGCTTGAGTTAAAATTAATATTCCAGGTTCTTGACTTAAGCTTAGAGAAGCATTCTAAACTCAGACACAAATGAGACAGGCAGCATGGTAAGGTTTAAGATTTATTTAGAGAGTGAGAGAAATACACAGGAATGTAAGGGGTTTAATAAGAAAGAGGGGCTTAAGAAGGGTAAATGGGAAGTTCCATACCAGCCTTGTTCAGGGAGTGGGCCGGAGACTGCAAGTGAGAGAGGGCATGCCCACAGAAGGGCGGCAGTGGTAGGCAGTGCATGGGAGAACAGGCATAAGAAGTGGCCAAATGCTCACAGGCACAAAAGGCACAGGAGAGAGCAGGGGCAGATCCAGCGTGCCCCACACCCTTTATTCACTTCCAAAAGGAGAATGGTCTGATTGGCAGGAGAGTGTACACAGGTGAGATCAGGTAAGGGCGGGGGGTTGGGGGGGGCATGGTCTTCAGCTCATGAATCTAATCAATCAAATCCTATCCCATATCAATGGCTCCTGATTTTGGCCTGAGCCTGCCCTAGCTGTTGCAGCTATTTGGGCAGTGAATCAGAAAGTGAAAGCTCTCTCTTTCTGTGCCTTGCCCTCTCTTTCTGCTTTTCAAATAAATAAATTAGAATACAAATAAGCTATTAAGATACTTAGATTGTAATCTCTCATATGAATATTGTAAAATAAAACAGCAAACAGAAAATTGGTGCTTTGAAAACAAAAACAAATCTTTCAATTGTCAATTTTCTATTTTATTTTTCTTTTTATATTCCATTCATTTCTACTGTAATTTTAATTATGTCCTTACTTCTACTTACTTTGGATTTATTTTATCTTTGCATCATTACAGAAGACCCATCACAGTACCCAAAGATTCCTCAGGTTTGCAAATACCCACTGACCACAGGCAAACACTGAGCTGAACCAAAGGTGAGTGAGAGAGGGCACACATACATGGATGGAAGAATGACTAATAGGGACCCTTACTTTATGAATGTCACATAATCATTTTAATGACTGCATAATTGTGTTATATATATTAACTATATGTATTAACATATTGCTTAATATAAACCTTTCTTAAATTTGCTTAGAAAAATAGCAATGCAATAAGCATTATATTATACACATCTTACATGTTAATCATTTTTATACAAATATCCACGTACATTCCAGCTTTAAATTCTATGTGTTAAGTACTCATTAATGACTATAGGACTAAAGTTTTTCTCTCTCTCTTTTTTTTTTTTTTTTTTTGGACAGGCAGAGTGGACAGTGAGAGAGAGAGAGAGACAGAGAGAAAGATCTTCCTTTTCCGTTGGTTTACCCCACTGCTGCCAGCGCACTGCGGCCGGTGCACCATGCTGATCCGAAGCCAGGAGCCAGGTGCTTCTCCTGGTCTCCCATGCAGGTGCAGGGCCCAAGCACTTGGGCCATTCTCCACTGCATTCCCGGGCCACAGCAGAGAGCTGGACTGGAAGAGGGGCAACCGAGACAGAATCCGGCGCCCCAACCGGGACTAGAACCCGGGGGTGCCGGCGCCACAGGCGGAGGATTAGCTTATTGAGCTGTGCCGCTGGCCAAGTTTTTGTCTCTTTAATGGAGAAGACTCATGTAGCTTCCAGAAAGTCATCAACTGTGGGCATACCATATCTCACAGAATTTTGTATATATTCACATTTATTTACTGTTTCACATTGAGGATAACTCTTTTAAATGCAGAAAAATTGTCAGTATCCAGAATTGTCATAAATGAGAGGACATAAGGCTCCTTAAGAGGAAACTACATCATTAAAATATTTACACACTTAGGTCCTGACTGAAGTAGATTTCAACTAAATATACATACAAATTAAGCATATAAAATAAGTTCTGTTGCTTCAACTGTCTTACAATGACAACAATTTGGGAAGGAATTTTCTCAATGCGTCAGTAACATCTTTATTCCGAAGACTATATATTACAGGATTGAACATTGGAGTCAAAATGGTGTAGAAAAGAGACAGTAGTTTGTCTGTTCCTTCATATTGATTGGATTTGGTATTTAAATAGGTAATTGTGGCAGATCCATAGAATAAAACTACAACTATGAGGTGGGAAGAACATGTTGAAAAGGCTTTGGTCCTTCCCGTGTTTGATGGCAATTTTAGGATGGTTGAAATAATTCTGCTGTAGGAGCCAAGTATAAGCATGAATGGAACAGTGACAAATAACACAGCAAAAATATAGACCACCATCTCATTCACAAGGATGTCTCCGCAGGCCAGCTTTAGCATTGGGGGGATGTCACAGAAGAAGTGGTTGATTTCCTTAGATTTGCAGAAGGGCAGAGAGAAAATCTGGACGGTCTGCCCTATCTGGACTGGAGTGCCACTGATCCAGGAGCCAGCCACCAGCTGGATGCAGACCTTTTGGTTCATGACTATAGGATAGTGCAGAGGGTTGCAAATGGCCACATAGCGGTCATAGGCCATCACAGCCAGGAGGAAACACTCAGTGGCTCCCAGAATGAGGAAGAAGCACATTTGTGTAGCACAAGCAAAAAAAGAAATAGTTCCTTTCTGAGTCCAGAGGTCCATGAGCATTCTAGGAAGAGTGACAGACACATAACAGATTTCTAGGAAAGAAAAATTGCTGATAAAAAAATACATAGGGGTATGGAGAGTGGAATCTACTCTTGTTATTAGAATTATAACGCCATTCCCCAATAGGATAATCATATAGATGACTAAGAATATTCCAAAGAGAAACCACTGGAAATTGGGAACATCAGAAAAGCCCAGAAGAACAAATTCTGGCATTGAAGTGAGATTTGTATCTGTAACTTTCATGCTGTTTTCTCTCTGTGGATTTAAGTTTCTTGACTGCATTTTTGTCTCTAATAGCTGGAGTGAGACATGAGCTTTTGCTTTTCTCTTCTTTTCTATTGCTTTCTCAAAATTAGGTCCTCTGGATCTGGGAAATTTGGTGTGAAACCAGGAGGAATGAACTTACCTGCAGATCAAATGTCAATAAAATGTTTAAATAATTAATTAACCATGTTAGATTTGCATTCCAGCTATGTTGGTAAGTTACATATAGTACATTTTTATTCAATTTACAGTATCTTAAAGGTGATATAGGCAAGTTTTTCCTTCCAACTAAATGTCAGTCAGTTTCCTCTCTCTCATTTATTTATTATTATAATTACCTTTGAGGCCACATTTCAATCTCTAGTGTGGTTCAGTAAATGTGAACAGCCTGAACTACACCAGCCACTACTCCCCAAAATGGCAAATTTTATTGTTTCTCTCCTTGTTCTCTCTTAATTTCTAAGTTAAATATACTTTCTCATTTCTGGGATGACTTTAAGAACCTTGCCCCGTAACATTCACTCTTCACAGAAAAACTGGGGTGGACATTTAAAGCCTGAAAAAGCTTATCACTTTAATTCTCAGTTAACCCCATGGATTTTCCTATATTTGAAGTAAATTTCCCAAGTCTTTTCATGGATTATAAACTTGTATAATTCTACTTCTGGCTGTCTTTTTATATTCTAACCTCCCACTCCCTCTCCTGCTACTAACACTAATTTGCCTCTTTTCCTCCAAATTTTCAGATCTACTATAGGCTTCTAGGAATGGAAACACAGGATATTATGTTGTTCTTCCTCTGCCTAGAATGTTCTCCACGTGTGTGCCCTTTCTAACTGTTTAGGATGCAGCAAACCTGTGTTTTTAACAGAAAAGCCATCACAAGTTTATTGTAATGATTACATTTTTACAATTGGATTGTTTTTGGACCAGTTTGTGAATTGTTCCTTCAATATATTTTCATTGTTTTATATAAATAAAATTTTCATATACTTATTTTTCATCACATGTAAGAAAATGAGATTCAATGTATTTAGGTTTTTCCAGATTCTGAGTTTCAACTCTATGCTGTTTATCTGTCATTATCCCTTAGTTCAAGATGGAAAAATAAATAACTTGATTAAACCTCATCCTTGCTATTGAGGTAGGTTTTCCAATATGGGCCTCACTGCTTCTTTGGAAGAAATAGATATAAGCTACCATTTACTGAATTGATTTTGCACCATACTGCTTCATTTTTACTATATTTTGCACCAAGAATATTTTCTTATCCTGAAAATATATCTTTATCTTATAAAATAGTTTATTATTTTAAACTAATATATTAATTTTAAACATTTGCTGGGATAATTCACCATCATTCTTCTATATATTTAACCAATGAACTTTGTTTCTATTTGGTAAGAAAAGGGCTAAGATAGAGCCATGTCAAGAAAGAAAAACTGAGCTAAGAAACAAGATGTGTGATGAGTTGATGTAAGCTATTTTGCACAGATAAAGCAACCCAGTTTTCAATTTACCTATTTATTTATTTATTAATTTTTGACAGGCAAAGTGGATAGTGAGAGAGAGAGAGAGAGAGAAAGGTCTTCCTTTTGCCATTGGTTCACCCTCCAATGGCCACCGCGGCTGGCGAGCTGTGGCCAGCACACTGCGCTGATCCCATGGCAGGAGCCAGGTGCTTCTCCTGGTCTCCCATGGGGTGCAGGGCCCAAGCACTTGGGCCATCCTCCACTGCACTCCCTGGCCACACCAGAGAGCTGGCCTGGAAGAGGGGCAACCGGGAAAGAATCCAGCGCCCCGACCGGGACCAGAACCCGGTGTGCCAGTGCCACTAGGTGGAGGATTAGCCTAGTGAGCCGTGGCACCGACCTCAATTTACCTATTTATGAATGTGCATGAAGCACAAAGGTACTCACAATTTATTGTGAGGACAAAGAATATCAATAACATAGCAAAATGAAAATCCCAACTCAATTACACATCAGGTTAATCACCTTCAATTAACCTTCCATTGGTGTGGTCTAGAGTTTGATGTGGCCTATGAAACCTGATTCATGTTCCATCACTGATGATCCTCAGAGACGCTAACTTGAGTGTTCACTTCTGCCATTGAGATTTCATTTTATGAATGATTTAGACAAGGCTCTCCCCTAATGTTCCTCCATCTATGATTTGAAATTGAGTAGAAGGTAGAAATTACTATTAAAATTAGTTATTCTCTAGAAAGCAAGAGAAGGTAATTAAAGGTACAATGAGAATGTGGGAACAAAAGTTATTAGCTTTCAAAATCAAGAGATTGTAGTAATTCTTATTTTGTGAAATCAAATTCCCAATTTTTTGTTTTAATATTTTTAATCTCAATAATATTTGTATTTCTTGCTCTCCTTTAAGCCAAGATTAAAGGTTCCCATGGGAAAAAGATAAAAACAATGAAAAAAAATAGCAAATATAATAAACTGTTGTGTCCATACCCTGGTATGATTATGGTCTTATTTGATTTGGTTCCCATAAAAAGAATAAAATATGTGCTGAAAATTTTGAACCACATGTTTTTTACCATTAACTAACAATTTGAAAGAAATGTTTGCATCATATTTTCCCTAAAAAGAAAATTCAATATTCACTGCTTTAAGAAGATTACTTCTTGGGGCCAGTGCTGTGGTGCAGTAGATTAATCCTCCAATTGCGGCACCGGCATCCCGTATGGGCTCTGGTTCTAGTTCCAGCTGCTCCTCTTCCAACCCAGCTCTCTGCTGAGGCCTGGGAAAGCAGTAGAAGACGGCTGAAGTCATTGGGCCCTGCACCCATATGGGAAACCAGAGGAAGCTCCTGGCTCCTGGCTTCAGATTGGCACAGTTCCGGCTGTTGTGGCCTTTGGGGAATGAACCAGCAGACAGAATACATATCTCTCTGTCTCCGCCTCTCACTGTCTATAACTCTAACTCTCAAATAAATAAATAAAATCTTAAAAAAAAGATTACTTCTCATAGAGATTATGTAATTTATATTGGCAACATTAAGAATTGTTATCCATATCACACAATATATTCAATTAAGTGCTATGAGATATATATCTGATTTTACTTTATTTCAGAGGTAATCTCAAAAAGAACAATTTTTTTCAAAAATATAATAAAATTTTAATGAGATGGTATTGATACATTTGTCCATTTTTCATATACAAGTGTTGTTTCAGCCATTTTACATGTACCTTCTAATGGCAAAAATTGTGTTTTTAAATATTTTTAATACAAACAGAGCATATTTCATGTATTCTGAGGATATAGTTCCAAGATGACAACCATGCTTACCTCACTCTCCTATTCCCTGCCAATACTTTTAGCCCTCCTCTCTCTTCATCAGTTTTTATTAAGACATAATTTTAATGTACTCCATATTCACAGGCTTAATTTGCCACTAATCCTATTATTTAACAACCGAAAAGAACAATTTGAAAAATAATTATCATTTAAATCAGTTTTCATATAAACAATAAAAACAGTAGCTATAGATTATATATTTCAATCTACATTTAAATACATTTGTTAGGGGCTGGCGTCGTGGCACAGTATGTTAAGCTACAACCTAGAATGCTGGTATCCTGTATTAGCTGGATTGCAATCCTAGCTGCTCTACTTCTGATCTGGCTAAGGCATCGGAGAGGGAGCAGAAGATGGTCCAAGTACTTGGCCCCTGCCACCCATGTGGGAAGCCAGGATAGAGTTCCTGTGTTCAACCTGATTTAAACCATAGTTGCATAGCTGTTGCAGACATTTATGGAGTGGACCAGAGGATGGGAGTTTATTCTCTCTCTCTCTCTTTCTCTCTTCTTCTCCCTCTCTCTCTCTTTCTCCCTCTCTCCCTCTTTCTTTGTCTCTTCCTCTCTCTCTGTTGCTTTGCTTTTTTAAAAAATATCAATAAATATTTTAAGAAGATATTAATTTAACTTTTTAAGTCAGAAACTAAGAAAACTACAGAGGGCTTTAAATAGTGAATGCCTTTTCAGACCAAGGTACAATTTCAGAGTTTTATATTATTTGAATCTAAAAAGTCAAATATCAAATTAATCAGCAATTTGAATTGAGGTAGAATATCTACATAGCAACAGTTTACCTTTTCAGCTTTGCTATGGTCATTTCTTTCTCATTGAAGTCTGTATATTTTCAAAATACTTAGATTAATATCTAGAACATTCATAAGCACTCAACTTGTTCTATAAACAGCAATTGCTCTTTATAGATCGAGTTACTTCTTTCCTGTGGGGATATGTCTTCTCCCTTGTCACACATAAATTGCTAGCTAACTGTTTCAGTTGGCAATTAATTTGGTGTGTTTTTCAAGCAACTTCTCCTTAACAGATTAGTCTTTCTTACAGTCTCTTCATGGAATATAATTTCATGCAATAGCCTTTCCTCAAACACAGAATACATGCAGATTAGAGAAGAAGGCATATTCTTAGTTGTTTATTATTATCTACAAGAAATATTCAAATTATCTATCTGTTTGCTTCTTATTCATTTATTTTTGTCTGAAGGGTAGAGAAACAGAGGCAGAGAAATCTTCCATCTGCTGGTCCACTCCCCAAATGCCTGCAATAGCAGTATGTTCGTTAGGCCAAAGATAGGAGCCCAGAACTCATTCTGGGTCCCCTCATGGGTGGAAGGGCACACATATACTTGTGTCACCACTATTGCCCCTGAGGGTGACATTAGCAGAAATTTTGAATTGGAAGCAGAGGCAGGATTCAAACCTAGCACTCTGATATAAGACATGAGCATCACAAGAGTTTTAAATAAAGTGGGCAAATGCACATCCATCCAATCTGTTGGTTTCTTACTTTATTTACTATAATTCTTTTTTTAACTTTTATTTAATGAATATAAATTTCCAAAGTACAGCTTATGGATTCCAATGGCTCCCCCCCGACATAACTTCCCTCCCACCCGCAACCCTCCGCTTTCCTGCTCCCTCTCCCCTTCCATTCCATTATTTCCTATAATTCTAAATAGAACTTG